ATGAATTCCATTGAATACCATTGATTCCGTTAACGAAATGAATACCATTGAATGCCAAACTAGGAATTAAAAATTTCCGTATTGAATTCCATTGAATTCCGTCTATCTTGACAATAAAATAAATACCATTGAATGCCAGGATAGGGATTAAAAAGTGTCCGTGTTGAACTTCATTGAATTCCGACCATTCCGACAATGAAATATATACCATTGAATCCCAAATTTAGAAATAAATATGTATATATCAAATTCCATTGAATTCCGGCGACATTTACAATAGAACAAATTCCATTTTATTTCAAATTAAGATTAAAAAACGAGTATAATACGTTAAATTCCTAGTTTTATCCCATCGTTATTTAAATCTATAATATATATTGAATATGTCATTCCCTATCACTTATAAAATTGAAAGTCATTCTTATGAATTAATTGTAATTTTAAAAGTTCCGTATTAGTTTAATTTTTGGTAACTTTGGGATAAACAGACTAATGTAAAACATTAAATTTTTAAATATTCAACAGTCAGTATTGTTACATTAAAATAAAACGTTTTATTTACAAAAATCATATTAGACAATTTTTATTGTAAATATATATACAATTAAGTTGAGCTCGATGAGGAGATTCTAATCTACCCTCCCAGATAGCACAGAGATTCGAAAAAGAATTCTTTTTTATGTCACTAATTCTGAATTCTTTTTTAGATGCAAAAAAAATTCTTTTTGCATCTAAAAAAGAATTCAGAATTAGTGACATACAAAAGAATTTTTTTTTAATTCTTTGTGCTATCTGGATACTCCGAGTAACAAGCACATAAAATCATATAAGACATGTTTTTTTAAATAATATTAAGTATTATACAATAATACGCATTCTTACAATAAATTACATTATCAATTTTACATAAAATTATCGATTAAGGATAATTTTTAAAAGTAAAAGGTTTTAATTAATCAGCCTCGAATACATTAGGCATTGAACAAACATACATTTGTTCTCCAATGTCTACTAGAACCATCTTTGAAGCAACCTCGACTATCGACACTAAAAATTGATTACTTGTTGTTAGCGATCTTATCTTCCACATATGTGGTATCTCAATTTCTCCAAGAATTACCTTCTCTAAAGGCAATTCGCTGACATTGAAATAACATCCAGTATCGGGAAAACTAATTATTTCTAAAATTTGTGCAATTTTCTTTGATTTTAGCTGAATAATACTATTATTCCATTTTTTGGACCGCGTATAATTTTTAATTTGGTATAATTGGCCATTATACACACATTTCTCATATTTTAGGCCTCCAGCTGTGCATGCATCTGCAAAATATTTGCCCGATCCAAAAAAAGTTACACCCTCTGTAACTTCTACGTTTACAGTTGATCGATTGCCACCAAATAATTTATCACAATAAATTTTTACATTATTCGATAAGGAATTTGTAGCTACGCCTACTCGATATGACATAACTTGCAATGATTTTTTGGCCATTTGTTGCTCTACACCCTTTGGCCCATTGACTAGTTGCTTCAAAACAAAAATGTTACTTTCATACGGGAAAGCCGATGTTGCCCAAAGAGGTCCTGATTTTCTAACAGATTGAACGCAATGGAGAATAGAATGAACATTATATCGCATTGCAGTCGTCCCATACAAATTTTCAAAATCTGCTACGAACTTCAAGAGATCTACTTCGCACTGATCCAGTTCAGAATGCGAGATTGAGGTCTTTTGTAAAATATACATGCTTTTGACAAATAGTACGTAATGTTCGAGATTTTTCTTTGGCACTAAATCTATACAAACAGGTATAGAGTAATATAACAACCATGACTTCCAGTCTTTTGCTTTAAAATTACTATAATTAGTCATTGATTGCGGCAACTTCCGCAAATCGCGAGGAGGTTGAATTCTACGTAATCTTTCGTTAATGATTTTTCTTGCATCGCGACTTAGAATTTTTGTGAATAAATCCCATACGTGTTTTGTTACGCCTAAAATGACTGTATGCATGCAATCAAGTGGAAAACCCCACACCATATCAAAATTTGATAATGATGCAAGTACTGAATCTCCCTTCACTCCTCGACTTTGTAATCCAGTTTTAGCCGATACTTGCGTATCATATAAATGAGTTTTATGAGTTCTTAACTCGGATTCTTGGTACTTGAAAGGATAACGCATAGCAGAAATATATAGCCCGGGATGATAACAGTAGCTACATCCAAAATATCCATTATATTGTATTCTATTTTGAACTACTGGTCGAGCTACGGAGTCCATTGAACAACATAAAACAGTTGGCGTATATGAGGTACGAACATTATCAACCGTTATGCCAAGATCAACACCGTCTTCACGTAATTGATTGATTTGTTTAATAAACTCCGTAATGTATGTATTCATAAGTTGAGGAGTCGGCTCATGTTCAACAATCATGATACCTACCGTCAATACATATTTAAATCGCATTGTTGGCGGTAAATCATTGAAAATGAGTTGAAGAGGCCAAAAACTTCGTTTTGACTTATGAAATAACGGCGCTCCATCAGTATTAATATTGCATGTTAAAGAAGTGGGATAATCCATAATCAATTCACGATATAATTCTCCGTCGCTTATATCACTAATATCTCTACTTTCCTGTGTAACGCGCCGAGCATTAATTTTTTCAATCAAAGCATTCTGAACATTTTTATCTTGCATAAGTAAATCTAATTGGTACCGTAAATCTATAGATAAAAACATATTTGTGCTTGACAAACTTATATTGTGTTTATGATTGCAAAACTCGCACAATATTTGATTCGCGTCAAAATGTTTCTTTGTTGTGGAATATAATTTGCTGTAACAATTAGTGCAATAATAATGATAAGTTATTATATTATCCGGTGGGTCAATTTCCTTCGCAAATCTATGATTTGATATATTAATATTACGAAAAGCTGGTCCAGCACATATACGAAGAAGTTCCATTATGGATTTGCGCGCTTCATTTGACGCACGATATCGCAAACAGTGCCCAGCTACCATCGAGACAACATCATCTACACTTAAACCCGCCGCCGGAAACATTATTGCACTACCTGTGCGTGTATGAAATTCTTCATTTCGCACGTCTAAATTATCTTCATTTTCTTCAATGTCATCAACACTCCCAGTGACGCTTCCTGCATCCGATGTGTTTTCATCAACCATTACCCATTCTTGATCTTCAAATGAGATATTCTCTTGCACGCATTGTGCAGATTGTGGTATTGTATTTTCGTGACTAACACCAGCACTGCCAATGACTTCTTGTTCAAATATTCCAGCGTTGCAAAGCTGATTCGAACACGATGGTTCACAATCAGTAGTCCCTACAAGGAACACAAGAGATTTATTATTACTCTTGAAAAGCCATTAATATGATACACAAAAGATATTGAAAAATTACTAAAATAAAGATATTAATATGATTATGATACACAAAAGATATTGCAAAATTATTCAAATAAAGATATATATTAGATATATATTTTGTTGCAATACCATCAAATTAAACAAGAAATAAATTAATACTTTTGTTTCCAAATTAATAAGATAATGATATTAATTTATTGTACCATAACTGTACCAAAACGTATATATATTTCATTAAATTTTAAATAAATTTGTAGAGATCTCTAAAATTCGCAAGAACATGATTAAGATAAACATCGTTCTAAATTGATTAAAATTTATTTCATGTAAAATCCAAAATAAAGTATTTTTTATTTACCTAAAATCTTCTTTCTTTTAATCTTTTTTTCGCATTAGTTATAAAAAAATTTAATTTTTGTTATAAAGTGAAGAAGCTGTAAACTTTATAAATTACGTAGGCCTGCCAATATGATGGGCCTGAAAGATGTTTAAGATGTTGCAATGGTTTTCGAAGTATTTTTATTTGTTGAATTCAAATCCGCCCGCAAAAATTGTCTATCACGTCTTTTTTTAGAAAAATGTGATTTTATGAACTAAAAACAGCGATTTTTGCAATATTAAGCCGTTACTGTAGCCGACTAATTAATCTCTTCAATATTTTCTTTGCGGTATCTTAAAGAGTTATCTTTTATTTTTATATAGCGTTCTTTATTTGCGTTTATTTTTTTCGTTGAACTGTTAAAGTTTTAAGAAGAAAACTTTTTAAAGTAAATCCTGTAATGTACACAAGGAACTGGACTAGTGTTTACATAAGCTGTTTATATTTTAAGGGGTTTTTGAGGTGACTGATTTCGAATCTGCCATCAGATTTGCAAAATTAATTTGTTTAAACAAATTGTTATAAATTATTTGTTTAAATAATTTGTTTAAACAAGTTATTGCAAAATTGAATTTTTTGAACCTGTACTTATATATAATTTTTTTATCATTTTTCCCTAGAACATAATTTTGAGATTTTTTTTTTTTAATTAAATTTTGCAATAAAACTTTCACAACCCGGCAAAAAAAATTGTACGTAAATAAAGAAAAGTCGCTTTATAAAGATAAAAAATAGCTCTTTAAGATACCGCACAAAAAATATTACAAAAATTAATTAGTCGACTACAATAACAATTTAAATATGACAAAAATAACTGCTCATAAAACCCCTTTTTTTAGTTTTATGATAATACAAGACTGTATCACATTCTGCACCTGGGAAATATTTATTATTACAAAAATATTTATAATTACAGCCCAAAGTATTGCAATTTTTTAATTTATATACTTTATACACGCGATACATATACCGTAGTAAAGCAAAATTAATAAATTCTTGTCATAATATTTAGAGCTTGTGAACAAAACTGTGATACTAACTTTATATATTAATATAAAAAAAAAATTTCATTGTCAAGACACAGCATAGAATTGAATATTAGAATCCTGGCTAAGGTATTATTTTTCTCTATAAAATTTATTTACAGTTTTACGAGGGAAGGGAGAATATAGATGCTAGTTAGCATTAAAAATATTAAATGGCTTGTCAATTTAATTTCTGATATTACGTTCCGGCTTCACGTAAGGACTGTGTTTTAAGACCGACAAATATGCGGCGCGTAGTTCGCGTGAGCTATGTTTCGTATATAAATTCACACAAATAATTATTAGGCACTAAAGAACCGCCGCAGATTTTCTGCAGACCGACATAGGCATTTCTATATATCCTTGTTTGAATACTAGATATTGTCACTGAATTTGATTCTTATCCAGCATTGGCTTTAATAATATATATTTCCTAGTTCCCAAATTGAAAATGTCATACTGTCCTATATATATTTTCATATATGATACAAATTTTCTTTTTACTTAAAAAAATAGTGACTTGATCAACAAATATAAAAAAAATTGTTACGTCTTGGAATAAAAAACCATCGTACAGCAGATAAAAAGT